TCCCGGCTATTGTACAGCATATAAATCTCACCATATCAATCTGGGTGGAGGTCTTCAAAGTAGGTGCTATCTGCTCGAGGTTGATAGTTTTCCGTATTTTAGGTAGTTTTTGCTGACCCTTCGCCGCTGAGGGGTCGTGCTGGATGGCCACTGCGAAATTTGATAGCGGCTATCGCGCGCTACAAACCTTCTTGGAAGCAAAGCTCGTTTATATCTTTGCGACCGGGGAACCAGTTAGAGGAATTTGTTATCTCTTGGACAGCTGTGGAGGTAAATCGGGGCAATCTTTGCTTCTTCTAGCATTCTGAGCCTATTTAGGCGACAGCTTTACCTCCTACTGTTGGTTGGGAGAGAACGCAGGATGGTAAAATGTCGCCTCAGTTTGCCGATATGAAGAAGCAGTTTGATCCCAAGAAGTAAGAATGTGGGTATAATTTCACTTTTGATGCATTGTTTTGCAGATTGATGGATCAAGCTGTTGGTCTGAACCTTTCTCTTATCAAATGGAGGCTTGTACCAGAAATGCGTTTGGAACGTTATACATCGTTGAAGGTGCGTTGATTGACTCTTGATTGACTCTCTTCCCATGAGTCTAGACTTTTGGAGTTCTTTTAACTTTCGTTAGATGATGTATCGTTCGCGGTGAACTTCGTTTGTACCGAATTTTATGGCAAGGTCGTTATCCTCAATAATGGCTTTTGAAAAATATGAAGTTTTCAAATCTTCAATCAAACATTTATCGACCGCGCTATACTTATAATCCAGATTTTTTGCATGTCGCTGAAAAAATCATACATTATTTTGTTCTCCATTAATTGTGGAGGGATTCATATTACTATGCCTTTGTTGTTGGAAAACTATCATAAATGTAAGAGCCTTCAGTGAACACAAATGAGCACTGTTTGCATACTTCTTTCATGGTTCAAATTATTAGTGATCGAACTTTGCGTTTCAGGTGCTCATATTCGGAGCTGGTACGTTAGGATGTAACATCGCTAGATGTCTGATGGGATGGGGCGTCAAGAAAA